TGCGGTACCCCCCGACTGATGCGCCTGCTCCCCCACAGAGGGATGTTCCAGCTGTCCCCACTGATTTCACTGTTGCAAGTCATGCTGCTGCGGACATCTGGGGCAACCTCCAACTGCTCTGCAGGTGTGTAAGCAACTCTCTGGTCCCCAACAGCCTTAGCTTGAGCCCCTGAGATGAGCAGGTCAATGTGTGGGGTCAGAACTATTCAGAACCAGCCACGTGGACCGCACCTCCTCTGCCCCAACCTCCAGCCTGCCCTTCCCACAGCGGCCCACAGCGGGCAGCGCCTGCCCATGTGCCTCTGAGGCTCTGGCCACCAGGCTGGGCGTTGTGGCCTGGCCAGCCCCAAGGTCGGGTGGCCCAGGAAGACAGCTGGGAGCGAGCCCAGGCACAGACAGCCTGGAGAGGCCTTGCCCCCCACATGCCTGCAAATGCTCAGGCCTTAGCTGTTTCCAGGGTGAGTTAAAGACCCTGGAGGAGGAGGGAAGGGAGGGCAGGCCGAGGGGCCGCTGAGGCTCCTGAGGGAGCCAGGGCTGGGGGAGCTGCCTGCAGCTGAGCCTGGGCACCAGCCTGGACATCGTCCCTGTGTGTTCCTGCGTCAGCTTCTCTGCTTCAGCCTGGTTGCTCCTCCCACAGGGGATTCTGGGAGCCTGTGGGAAACCCAGAAAGGCCACCCCATCTGCAGCTCCTGCGCTCTCTTCCTCAGCCCCCGGGCCGGCCGCCCCTTCAGTGCCCCAGGGGAGGGGCGCCCCCCAAGCTGGCAGCTCACCCACGCTTGGGCCACGCCTTTCCTTAGGCTACCCACCCCTTCCGCGTCGTTCCTGCCGCTTCTGGATCTTATCCCAGAGACAATTCAGCCCCCTGAAGTCCAGGACACGACGGGAACCTGCAGCCCTGCAGCGAGGGGCTGACGTGCAGCCCAGGGAAGAGGGCGGGAGGCGGTGCTGGGAGCAGACCTGGCGGAAGGGGCGGACCGCAAAGCGGCTGTGGGGACGGTCACACTGAGACCACGTCCACGCACGGAGAAGGGCCGGAGTGACAGATATAGGCTTGCGCAGGCCACTGTCACTTACTTGCTGTGTGATCTTGGGCAAGTCGCAGAGGCTCTCAGACTCCCCCTTTCCTCGTCTGTGAAAGTGAGAATAGCTCCCCGGTTTGGGGTGAATGAGACTGTACTAAAGTCCTCAGGGGCGCGAAAGGCACACGGTGGCGGGAAGAACAGCTGTGGTGGATTTTAGTGACTCGGACAAATGGAAATAGTTTGGCGTGACCGGGAAGCACAGCTGGGACACTAGCAGCCAGATTTACAGTCCTTAAAAATGACCTCGTAACCACTGTTGCACTATCCAAAAAAAACCCGAAAGCATTTGAAAAATCCCTTGGCGTTTTGGGCCTCTGAGTTCCATCTGGCCTGTCATGGCGCCGCGTCTTTCTCGCGGGTCTTTGTCGGGACCCTGCCTAACAGGCGGTGACTTACCCCAGAACCGAGGAGGCAGGGGAAGTGCAGACGCACCAGGTGCGCCGGGCTGTGGAGGCCAGGGCCGCATTCCTGGGATTCCTGCTGGGAGACCCGCCCAGCTGCCGGCTAGACTGCTGCCCGCCGCTCACTTCTGGGGGTGGCTGAGCTCCCGGCTCCACCTGGAGGCAGAGGGGCCACCCAGGGAGACAGCCAGGCCTGGAGTCAGGTGAAGGAGAGGGCACATAGGCTCAGTCTTCGGGACTTTGAAGCAAGTTTAGCTTAGGTTTGATCCCACAGGAAGCCAAAGCTAACATTCCACGATTCATTCATCCCAGGATGCCAGCAGGGACTTAGGAGCCTTGAGGAAGGCACAGCCCAGGGGATCGACTGTCCAGGTTTACTGGGGACTGAGGGGCTGCCAGGGATGGGGACTTTCCATCCTGAAACCAGCACAGTGCCACGTAAACCAGACAGGGGCCCCAGAGGGGTCACCTTAGAGGTGGCAAGGGGAGGAGCTGTGGGGGAGGGAGGATGAGCCCGCGAGCTTCTTAGCTGGTGGGAAGGAGAGAATCTGCTCTGAGGAAGAAACCCCACAATCTGTGTGTCAAGAACAAGATGGGTTCTTCCTGTCAAACCTGCTCTTCCTGCGCCGGGGAAACTGAGGCCAGGGGAGGAAGAGAAGGATGGTGGCACAATGAGGACTGGGAAGCTTTCTGGACACCTATGTTGAGAGTGGCCAACCTGACCCAGGATGAAGCCGTTGGCTGAGGCCCACCAGGCTCCTGATGGGCCACCGGGGAGGCCCTGGGGACATGAATGTCCCCGACCGGCTGCCCTGGCATAGTGACCAGGGGAAAAGGAATTTTGCACAAGATCCCACTGACCTGGGCTAGCAGGGAGCCGCAGGGTCTCTGGGCAGCATCAGCAGCTCCTGGCACAGTGGCTGAATGGAGGTGGCTGGCAGGTCTGGAAATCTGGCCAGCGGCTCCTGGAAACCCTGGGTCCTTGGCATCTCCCATGACTTTCGGCTTCCACCACCCTCCCTCATCAACTGCCGTTAGAATCTGCTACCCCTCAATGCTCTGGGCTGGCATTAAAAGGCCAGCGCTTCCCCAGCTGCCTGCTGCAGGGGCACCGCGGCATCCCCCAAATGGCCATTCCTCTGCCACCGCCTGCCTGCCTGTCCTCTCCGAGTTTGGCAGTCCACTCATCCCTAGGCGACAAAATATGGTTTTTCAGAAGCATCAAGCCTGATGAGAAGTCGATGTTCTTAATTTCAGCTCTGCCATAGCCACAGACCCTCCCGCCTGCTCCTGCTCACACAGTTCAGGTTCTGATGGTGGCCCATTGGCTATGGGTCCTGGGGAGCCTCTCAACCTCTCTGAGCCTCAGCTTCCTCATTGTAAAACCAGGATAATCCTGACACCCATGTCTCAAGCTTGTTGTGAGGATGCAAAGAGAAATCCAACAAACTGAATACAGAATCCAGCACACAAGTGCTCAATCAATGTTAGATGTCACCCTCACCTTCCTGTGACAACTGGAGGCCCCAGCTCAGCCAGGCCCGGGAACACTAACCCAGGCATACGATGAAATTTGTTTCCACTGAGGAGGAGCTGGGGCCGTGAAGATACAGCTGGAAGTCTTCCCGGGTCCAGGGATTGGGGAGGAAGCCCAAGTGGACATTGGCTGGCAGGGTTCCCGGGTAAGGAGAGCCTGGTGGGGGGACCTGGGCCAGTGGGAAGATGCCCAGGCAGGCTCAGACTGTGGGGCTGATCAGAGAGCCTTTAGTGGGGGTGGGGAGGAACCTTCCAGAAATGTCCCATTTATAAAAATTGTTCACAGAAACTGTTTCATTTACCAATTCGCTCCTGGTGGCCAAGGCACAGTTAATTGTTCTAAAAGCAAATCTCCAACATGTTTTTCCTTCTTCTGTGGTTCTTATTCTCTTTTCCATTTTCACCTGTGATTTTTTTCTGAGCCTGACAGCATTTTGGGAGGGATATAAAAGGATTTAAAACTTAGACAATACAGCAAATTACTTGCTTTTGTTAAACTGCTCTTCACTCCGTGTCATTTGGTTTCAGAATTTTTGCGGTGACTGTAGGGATGGGGATTGCAAAAATACTCAACAGGATTACAGGATTTTCTCATTTTCACTAGAAGGCTTCATCCCCTCGGGGGAGGAAGGCCAGACCAATTCACCTGGGGGTGGATGTTGGGGACTTGGTTTGAGTTTCCAGGATCTGGGAGGGACCCTTGTCCTGCTCTGCCTGGCAGGTCGAAGGCCTGGAGGCGCTTTAGATTTGGGGCCGGAACCTGGGCTGCAGGAGACGGGCTCTGGCAAACCTGTCAGCAAAGTTTGGATTTGGACCCGACGGCAATGGAAGGGTCTCACACTGGGAAGTGACAGGTCAGAGCTGGGTCTGGCTGCAGAGGCTCGGAAAGGGCCAGGTGGGAGGCGGGGCAGAGAGCTGAGAGCTGATGCGGGGATTCGAGCCCCGAAGCCAGTGGGCGGAGGTGGAGGCGCCTTTCTTCACCCCGGCTGGCTGTGTAGACCTGCGATTGTCACCGCCTCAGGCTGCAGGCGCCCGGCCCCTAGGCCTCGTGGGCACGTAGAGGCACCACACCAGACAGGGACCCTCACTGCGCCCTTCCTGCTGGGGGACTCCGGGCCAACGGCCCCTTCCGGCTGGTTCCTGTATCCATGACAACCGCACACCTCAGTTCCCCGGGCGTTTCCATTTCAAATGCTCTGCCCCTTTGTTCGCACAGGTTCCGTGCCGCATTCCGCTTTCTCATTTTTAGTGGGGACCGGGACGCGTCCCGTTATTCCGCCCACGGGCCTGCGCCACGCCGGGTCGGGCCCTGGGACCCAGAGCCCCGCGGGCGGCGAAGGGGGACGCGCGGGAGTTGGGGGAGGCAGCCCGCTGCCCTGCAGAGGGAGATGGCGCCGTCCGCCGGTGCCCGCGACCGGCTGTCGGTGCAGCGCCCTCATCCCCGGGACCAGGCGGAAGCAGGTGTGGCCGCCGTGGGCCTTTCGCGCCAGGAGGCCCGCGGGAGGGACCCTCGGCGAGTCCGGGCCTTTGAGAGCCGGGTTCCCGGTCTAAAGGGTGGGCAGCGTCGGTGCCTCTCCCGAGCGTGGGAGAGTCGCCTGGGACCTACTCGAGGACACCCTGCCCAGCAGGTGCCGTCCAGGTGCGCGCCGGCCCGCACGCACGGTGTGTGGGCGTGCTCCCTTCCTGCAAGTGCGAGGGGCACGCTGGCACTTTCCTGTGGGCGTTAGCATGCTTTCCATCCTTAGAGAGTGCAGGAGAGGAAGGGTCTGCACCAGCCCAATTTTGGGTTCAATGCTTTGAAGCAGAAGTGCGCGCCGCGTGCTGCCTCTTTAAGGCGTTGAGGTGCCCGAGGAATTCCGGCCCTTGCCGCTGCCCGTAGCGCCCCTCCGAAAGGCCGGCTTTGTGCGCTCGCCCCGCCCACGGACGCCGCCCCTCCCCTCGCGCACGCGCACTGCCGCTCCCCACGCCGCCTGGCGCCCGCTCGAGCGCCGCCTCGTCGAGCTCGGTCCGCGCTCCCGCTCAGGCGGGGGCTGACGCGACGCCCCAAGCGCCCGGCCCCGCCGCCGCGGCCCGGCAGGTAAGCGGGCGGCCACCCGGCCCGGCAGGCACGAGACGGGCGGCGGGGCGACGCCGGGGCCCTCCACACCGCCCCCGGCCGCCGCACGTGTTCCCCCCGGGCCTCGGGCCGGGCCCAGCCCGGGCGCTGCCCCGCCGCGGCGGTCCCCGGGGCGCCCGGACTGCCTCCTGCGCGGGGCGGGCCCTCCTTGGAGACGCCCCTCGCCGGGCCCCCGTCGGCTCCCGCTCCGGCCCCTCCCCTGCGCCCCGCCCGCGGGTGCGCCCCGCTCGCGTTCGTCGCCTCTGCCCCGCCGGCCCGCTGACAGGACCTGAGTCCGGGTTTGGGGTGTCGGGACTTCCTTTTCCCGTGGCCGACGTGTCCTCCCTCACATGTTCCCTTTCCGCCCACCCCACGGAAACCCCGGACCCCCGAGCGCACGCAGTCCCTGCACGGGGCGCGCTTCCCCGCCTGCGGCAGTGCCCCCAGGCCGACCCCGCTGCTCGTCCTGGCAGCCTCGCGGCCGCCAGGCGCCGTCCCTCGCCGCAGAGAGTCTGGGGTGGGGGTCCTCTGTCACCAGGGAGAGCCCCTCCTCATGCAGGTCTCAGGCCACTCCCGGTCGCGTCTGCAAAGCCATTTTGCGTGCTGTTAGCAGACACTCCTTACTAGCCTCCTCGTGCAACTTTCTGCCCCCGGCCCCTTTACGCCTCTTCTGAAAGGCTTTTGTAAGCTTCGAGTCTGGCGGGTGCTGTCCCAGCCTCATAGGGAAGGCAGGTAGGTGAGCAGACAGCCAGCTGTGGCAAGGTAAACATAGGACGGGGGTGCGTCCAAGAACCAAGGTGGGGAGAGTGATGGTCCCCAACTCTGTTGCTGGCCACCCGCGAGTCACCTGGGTGCCTGTTTAAAATGTAGATCACTTCCTGTTTTTGCACACCTGTGCACTGAAGTATCTGGGCTGGAGCCCAGGGATCTGCATTTGACACACAGGCCAGGAGAGCATGCTGACGTTCGGTTCGGTTGGTTGGCCTCAGGTAGGCAGGCTTACCTGGACACAGGCTCACCTGGATGAAAAGCTGTGGCTGCTAAGAGGGGGCAGCACCTGCTGGGGAGGCCAGCTGCCTTGCCTGCGACCATCTCATCTCGTGCCCCTCCTGCGTGAGATCAAGTCCCTAACCTGCTTCCCTTTTGCCTCAAACAACTGTTCCACAGAAAGGCCTGAATGTTTGTGGAAAGTGCCAAGCCTTGGGCTCCACCCAAGAGACTTGGTCTGTTGGATCAAGAAATCATATTCTTAAAAGTCAGGCTGACTTTTTTTTAAACGTTTTTTTAAACCCCCCAAAGGGTTGGGCTGGTTGGGCACCTTTTCTGTAAGACCACCTATCTGTTCCTCACCTCAGGGCACCCAGGTGTTTGCAGTAGTCACCACTCACCTCCAGGTGAGCCTCACCTTATGCTAGTTTAGGTCTCCTGAGCTGCCTCTTGCACCCCTGTGAGTGTAGAGACCAGCCACCGCAGCCTCTCCTGTTTCCTCTGGTGTTTCACATGGGTAGGGCGCCACCACACTTCGCTCAGCTCTTGCCCTGGTCTGGCTTCCTCACAGTAGGGCCTTTGAAACAGACTTGCCAGCTCCTTGCTTTGCTTGGGTTTCCTTAGCTCCTCTCTTCCCTCTGCTTGTACATGCTGCAGAGGAGTAGACAGCAGTCGAGTTAAATTGGCATGGCCAGGTTGCACTAAGATAAGCGCCAGCTTCGTACCAGCACCTTGTCCCCTGGGCAGCTCTACAGGGCCTCCTTCCCCCACCCCCCATGGTATTTGGCCTCTCGATGCAGCGTGATCCATCCTTGGGCTGGTAATCTTTGCTGCAGGTGAAATGGAGCTGTGGCCACACCTGTTCTCTGTCCCCTGGGTGTTGTAATTTGTCTTCCTTCCTCTGGGATGAAGACTTTGAGACATGCTCTTTTTTGGTGGCTTCCATTTCGCCGTATAAGGAGCCTGTGCAAGACTTCAGTTTTCAGCTCCAAGCCAGAATTGACGGTGTGTAAAGTCGTTAGATTAATGGCGGTGCCAGCTTCTGGGGTTTGTATAGCCACTGATATTTGCAAGCATGTCTCACTGGCTCTCCTTTTTGGCAGTGTTGCCCCTCGTTTCGGAATAATCTTTATGAGATGTATTCAGGTAACAGGATGTGTTCCTGTGGTAGAGGAAACTAGTCACTGCACGGTTTGGATGGTTCCCTGTCGTTAAGCTGAAACCGAGCTGCGGTCTCTTTTCCCTCCTCTGCAGCATGGGTCTTGCGTGCAGTGGCAGTGCTGGACTCCAGGCTGTTTCCAGAAGGCAGGATGTGGAAACTCCAGCTGGCAGAGCTGGCTCTGGTTTGCTCTTGTTGCTGTCCTGCGGTACCTGACCAGGGATGAGAGCCCTGTGAACTGTTACCGTTCTGGAAGGCGCCTCGCATCTGCAGCCTGTGCATAGTGACAGCGGAGCCCCCCTGGATGCACCAGCTAATGTTTTCAAACATGGCCATTAACATGATTGCCTCACTTGGGGTGCCTGTTAGGATTTGGACGTGTTCCCAAACTTCTACACCCTGAAGCTTAGTCTTGTCATTTGGCATATTAGTTTTCTGTCAAGAAACCTTTCAGTTTTTTAATATGTCAAGGGCTCTTTGATGAAAATTGCATTTTGTTTACACAAACTGTGCCGCATCCCTACAAACATCTGGATGACAAAATAGGAAGCACTCTTGAGGTCTTTCATTATGATCAGGAAAGGGGGAGAGCAGGGGTGTCTTAGCGGAGCAGCTGAAAAGTATTAGCATGGAGTTAGGGTGATAGATTCCCCAATTTGGAACAGTTGATTTGCTACAGGGCTCAATATGGTGATCACATGTCTTCTTGTTTGTACTGGAAATCAATTTTTAAAAGCACGATATGTTTATTGGCCTAGGTCTCCACTCTAGGTCTCGGTTAGCAGAGTGCCTCTTTCCACTGTGACTCCAGCCACATCCCCCGTGCGGCAGGCTTCAGAGCCATGGCGACAGAGGAGAAGAAGCCTGAGACGGAGGCTGCCAGAGCACAGCCGACCCCTTCTTCCTCTGCCACTCAGAGCAAGGTGCCTGCCCAGGGGCTCCTGGGGCGCCTCCCAGGGACAAATATGCTAAGGGATTCTTGGAAACGTTAAGCCCATAAGTGGTCTCCCCTACTAAGTTAAACATCTCTGCCAATTTTTATTCATTGGTCACATACCTAATGAATGCTTATTCCATGCCGTGTCAGGGATACCCAAACCTGTCACCCAGTTTGGAGGAGGCTTTATCAGATACAGATTCTTGGTCCTGATTGTAAGAGTCTGTGTGGCACCCAGAAACCATCTCTTCATAAGCACCTCCACCCTGTCCCACGACGCTGACACAGGCAGGCCTGCAGGCCCCTCCTGTGGAGCTCTGACAAGGGGAGCGGTGCTTTCAGGGGTGCTTTGGGGAGGCCACAGTTTGAGTGGGAGGAGGGCTAGCCTGGAGCTGGTAGGGACCCCTGTAATGTGGCAGGGTCACAGGAGGGGTTCGGGTGGGATGGTGCCTCGAGGGCCTTGAACATTTCTAGCTCGCTGGTGGAAACTGAGGTGGGAACTACAGGAGAAGCTGGGGTTTTTGAGGGGGAAATAATGGGCTCAGATTTACTCATGTTCAGTTTGACACATTGAACGTGTGTGCTACACTAGAAAAAAATCTTTTTTCCCTGGGGCCGTGGTGTTTTATTAAAACAAATGATCCTTTCTAATTTGTTATTTTTTATTATTTTCTGTGTGTGAGTTATATGCGATGCAATCCATGTTTTTAGAATTGTAGATAATGTAGTAATAAGAACGTCAACAAGTGAGATTTTCAGCAGCCAACTGCAGGGTTTTGCCTCATGCGGCCCTGGGCTCAAAACTAGCCTGAGTTAAATACAACTCACACAGCAGTCAATGTATTAAAAAGTTACATCCAGATAGAGACTTCTATTAGGCACTTGGCATGTGGATTTGCAGCGCAAAATATCTGAGTTTAAAATTAAACTTTAGGAGTCAAATCCAAAGGGATAACCTGTTGAACTGCATAGTGGTGGTTACTTTTTGCTAATTTAAGTTATGCTGTCTCTCCAACAGCCGACGCCTGTTAAACCAAACTATGCTCTAAAGTTCACCCTTGCTGGCCACACCAAAGCAGTGTCCTCCGTGAAATTCAGCCCGAATGGAGAGTGGCTGGCAAGTTCATGTACGTAGCAGGGCGCTTCAGCTGCCGGGGGCAGTTGGTCTGACCTGCAGTCAGGAAGCCAGGAAGTGGGGCTGGGGGGTGGCTTGCTTTCAGACACTACCACTGAGTCGTCGTAGCAAGCAGCGTGTCCCCTTCCAGGAGCTGCGGAGAAGTCGGTGCCTGTTGGCATTGTGCCCATTGCCCCTCTGAAGTGAAGGGGGGCCTTGGGGAGCGGGGAGGGGAGTGGCCCTCTCCTGCACGTGGCCATGCTGCATGGGTTCCAGTGCGGTTCAGCTCATGCTGGTTACCAGGGGCTCACGTGGGGAAAGCCCAGGCTTGGCTCTGGATGGCTGGACACCCATGTCCCACTCTGAGCCTCAGCTTCTTTTTATTTCTTTCAGCTGCTGACAAACTCATTAAAATTTGGGGAGCATATGATGGAAAATTTGAGAAAACCATATCTGGTCACAAGCTGGTAGGTCGCAACCGTGTGAGGTGAAGTGGACTGTTAACAGGGGAGCCCCTGTCGTCTAGTAGGGTCAGGCCCGTGTCCAGGGCCAGGTGTTCAGATGTAAGTTTTCCCTTGTGCTTTGTTGTACTTACTTGCCTCTTGTGGGCTGTTTTTTTTTTTTTTTTTTTTTTTTTTTTGAGACGGGGTCTCGTTCTGTCACCCAGGCTCGAGTGCAGTGGTGTCATCATGGCTCACTGCAGCCTCGAACTCCTGGGCTCAAGCGATCCTCTTGCCTCAGCCTCCCAAAGAGCTGGGACTACAGGCGTGAGCCACTGTGTCCAGCCCCCTTGTGTTTTTAATGCAAATGCTTTCGACGTCCACAGATGAGTTTCTGCTGTCCGTGAGACCAGGCAGAACCACAGACCCTGCTTGTTCCTCTGGGGCTGTGCCGTGTGTCCTCCGTGTGTTCACACTAGCCGGGGAACTTCTGAGGGGGGAATGGGAGTTTGGGATTTTGACCTTTGCTGGCTGGGCGTGTCTTATCCTGCCAAGATGGTGACCACATTTTTTTCTCCCAAGGGAATATCCGACGTAGCCTGGTCGTCTGATTCCAACCTCCTTGTTTCCGCTTCAGATGATAAAACCTTGAAGATATGGGACGTCAGCTCGGTGAGCAGCACTTGGCGCTCTTCTCCCAGGGAAGACTGGCTGCGGGGGGCAAAGGGCTGGGGCTGAGTTCCATCTGGGGAACAGCCAGTCACCAGCAGGGTGTCAGGTGTGCCTTGAAGCTATTGATGAGTGTGGCCGGATGCTGATATTTGGGAAAATAACCGCTGGGAATAACTTAATCAAATAATACTCTGTTTTAGGGAAAGTGTCTGAAAACCCTGAAGGGGCACAGTAATTATGTATTTTGCTGTAACTTCAACCCCCAGTCCAACCTCATTGTCTCAGGCTCAGTAAGTGCGGCTGTTGTGTCTTCTCCATGGGAGGTGATGTTGGGTGTGCGATGTTGTTGTGTCTGACTGCACAGCACCGTGGGCAGGGTGGGTGGGCTTCGAGTCCTTTCTGTGCCGTTCGTGGCGAGGATGAGGCGGTGGCAGGTCTTAGTTCTGGGGAATCTCGTCTTCTCTCCTCCTTACTGTAGAGTCACTTTAATCTCTTCTTTCATCTTCAGTTTGACGAAAGCGTGAGGATATGGGACGTGAAAACAGGGAAGTGCCTCAAGACTTTGCCAGCTCACTCAGATCCGGTCTCAGCTGTAAGTCCCTCTGACAGCGGACATGGCCCATGTCCAGCTGACTCCTGTTGCACAGCAGTCTGGAGTGGGGATCAGAGGTTGGGGCTGGGGACCCGAGAGATCTCTTGGCCCTATGTGCAGTGGGGAGACAGGTTAGATGCCAGCAGGGTGCCCTGTGGTGAGGCCCTTTGTGTGGGCCGGGAGGCAGGTGGCCACAGGTGTTCGGGAACTGACACTAACAGGACAGGCAACCTGGAAGGGTGTTTGGGGCAGAGGGAGCTGTGCATTGGGATGTGTGAGAAAGTTGGTGTTGGTGGACGGGGTGGTGGGGCTGACCCAGTCATGGGTGGGAGCTGTCAGAGCCCTCTGGAGAATAAGCTCTGTGCATGGACATGTCCTGCCGTTTTGCAGATGCCATCCCAGTGTGCAAAACAAATGGACGAGAGTTAAACTACATGCAATATCACAAATTGCTCCTTTTCAAAAAACGGTCAAAAGTTTCCTTTGTTAACAAAGAGACTGAGGTGGTTTCTTAGCCAAACTTGCCTTTTTCAAGAAGTAGAAGGAATCATGCATATGGTTTGTTCACTATTGCCCAGCACATGTGCTTTTCATGTTCTAACATCCTGGTGGTGTGTGATTTTAAGCACTTTACCCTTGGAATGCGTCTGCCGAGCTGAGACACCAGGCAAAGCCCTGGTGTGTACAGGACACACAGTGCGTCTGGGCTGAGGTGGGGCTGTGGAGTCTGGGACCTGCACACGGCCCCTGTGGGCCCAGAGTCACCGCCGTTGCAAAAGTCTGTTTGCTGTGGAGGTGATGCCATGCAGGCCTGGCCCTTGCTACCAGTCCCCTGCCCTCCAGGGCACGTGGAGTCACAGAGCAGAACTGACTTTCAGACTGGGGGTGGCAAACAAATGCCCATGAAGACACCAGAAAAATCGGTTTGATTGATGGCCCCCGAGTTGAAAGAAAGAGTTCTGTGAGCATCCTAGTGGTCCGGGGTGGCTGCAGGTGGGACTCCCAGATAATAGGTAGGATCCTAAATGTCTTGGTTTCCTACAAAAGTGACATTTGCTCATTTAAAAAAAAAAATCCAGGCCGGGCATGGTGGCTCACGCCTGTAATCCCAGCACTTTGGGAGGCTGAGGCAAGAGGATCGCTTGAGCCCAGGAGTTCGAGACCACCCTGAGCAAGAGCGAAACCCCACCTCTACAAAATACAAAGGAATCAGCCAGATGTCGTGGTGTACGCCCATAGTCCCAGCTACCTGGGCGGCTGAAGCAGGAGGATCACTTGAGCCCAGGAGTTTAGTGTTGCAGTGAGCTACGATGACACCCCTGCACTCTAGCTCAGGCGACAGAGCAAGACCCTGTATCCAAAAAAAGGCGAGCAAACATGGAAAGTAGAAACTCAGAATCTCCCCAGCTCCTACCCCGTGTCAGCTGCCGAGCGATTGGTCTGTCCCTCTGGGTCCTCTGCTTTGTGTTTTTGAAGATGTATTTTCCAGTCTGGCTCATTCCGTTCGCTCTGTAATAACAGTGATGCTGCAGCACAGCCGCTGTTTCGCAGCCGGCTCCACTGCCAAGGGCCGTCTGGGGTGTCTCTGATGGCAGTACGTGTCCCTGCCTGTGGGCTGCTGGTGTGGGCTGCTGTGTGAGGAGTTAATATTTGCCAATCACCCTTTGAGTGCTTGCGTGTAATTTTCACTTTTACAAAAAGCGCATTGAGATCCTGTTTGCACGGCCTTGCATGCTCGTGTGGTGGTTTCTGTAGGATGACTTTTGGAAGGGGAAATTCTGTGTCGTTATGTACATTTAGTTTTTCAACAGGTGTGTTTTGGAGCTTTAGCGACTTCAAGGCAAGTGAGCACTCTGCTGTCTGCCTCCTGTCGCTGTCCTCTGCTTTGGTCCAGGCCCTGTCCTCTTTTGCTTCTCAGCTGAAGGCCCCTCTGACCATGCATCTGCAGCCTCACCCCACACTAAGCAGTGGGCCGTCCCCTTCTCCAGAGCCTCTGCACTGCTTATCTGCTCCAGGGTGCCCAGAGCGCCCTTTGGACTGTCTATCTGAGGGGACTTGCCGTCCCCTGTTGGGTTCTTTTCTGTGGCTTTGTTTATTTCTTTGCAGCACTTACTTTTTGCTTGTCTTCTAGAATATACGGTATAGACTGTATGGCTTCTCGCACCTGAACTTTGGTTGAATGGAAAAGCCAGGCCACGTTTGCCAGTGGGTGGTATTTGGATGTGGTTAGGAAGCTGGAGCCAAGCACAGCATGGGATTGGTGGCGTGAGTTTTGGGGCCTCGTGTCGACTCATTGCCATCTAGCACAGTGGCCTTGCTAAGAGCCTGTTTGGGGGTGAATGTGGTTAGATGATCGCTGTGAGTTAGGAGGGTACGTTTGAGAGGGTAATGACCAGATGGTCACAGTTAAGTAGCTGTTGCTGCCAGAGCAGCCTGTCAGTAGAGCTGGTAGAAATAGGGTGCAAACAGTTACTAAGCTCTCAAGTGTCTCCTGGAGAGCGTCTTTGAGAGCCAAGCTGTCCAGCATGGCAGCCACCAGCTGCACCCGGCAACCCAGCACCACGAATGTGAGCTGCTGTGCGCCTTCAGGCTTCAGAGGCCTAGGGCAGCAAAGTGGAATGTAAGGTATCTTGTCTTAATTTGTAATATTACGTGTTGAAATATTAATAATATTTTAGATACACTGCGTTAAATTCTATTAAACTAATTTCACCTGGATTTTTTACTTTTCTAATGCATCTACTAGAAAGCTTAAAATTATACCCACGGCGGGCAATGCTCTTGTACAGTCCAGCCTAGGGCTTTTCCAGGTGTGTTTCCCAGACCGGCAACGGCAGCATCCCCTGGGAACGAGCGTGGAATGCACATCCTGGACCCCAGCCCAATTAGAAGCTCTGGGGTGGGGCCCAGGAGTCCGCGCTTTCACAGCTTGCAGATGCTTCTGGTGCATGCAGGTTGGCATCCGGGGACACATGGCAATGTCTGGAGACGGTTTGGGTTGTCACAACTAGATGCTCCTGGCATCTGATGAGGAAAGGACAAGATTGCTGTTACCCAGGACAGCTCCCAGTGGCACAGAAGAGTCCGGCCTAAAACGTGATGGTACTGAGAGCCGGAAACTCTGGTCTGGACAGTAGACGCGAACAGACGGCCTCAGCCCCATCCCTGCATAGCTAAACCAGGGCTTCCTTGTGCAGCTTAATTTCACATAGGAAATATTTCACTCACAGCATGAAACCAGACAGTTTCCAAAAGGTGTGACTTGTTTGTAAGAAGGCCTATTCCGGGTCCCGTCTGCCTAGGACCCAAATAAACATGGTAGGAATTGGTGATGAACCTTAGGTCCTGATGTCGTGATTACATTTATTCCCAGTAAGATTCAACTGGAAAAAATCATAAGAAAAATGAAATAAATCAGTTGTAAGAAAGGGACCATCGTCAGGTTGCAATTTCTTTGTGCATTAGGCATGCAGATAAAAGCAGTGATTTGGAAATACCATAGGTCAGCGTGCAGGGACCCACAGCAGTCGGAGCCTCACCTATTCTGAGATGGCAGGTTTGCAGCGGCCTGGATCTCATTTCCATCTCATCTGAAAAGGTGGAGCTGGGCCTCCACCAGTCAGTGTCCCTGGCCTCAGAGTGTCTGGGACTCGGGTTTCCTGGTAGCTATCAGTGGGCGGTTGATGCACTAGGGGGAAGAGCAAGAAGGCTCTGGAGTTCCCTTCTTATGATGGTGACTGATAAAGGGGGTGTTTCCCTCCTGGTTTTTATCATTTCTTTTTTACTGTTGGCTCAGGGAAAGTTATTCTGAGCCACATCGACCTTGTCAGGCTGTCCTCGCAGCAGCACAGACCAACAGACTTGGAAGCTGCCCCTCTTTTCATAGAGCCAAGTGGGACTTGGTTGGTGGTCCTAGTTTCTCTTCAGCAGTACATTCGTAGCTTTTAAGTGATTTAAATACTCAAGACATATTTTGAGGTTGATTTTTCTTTTTATGGTGTCCGTCATAAACCAAACTGCTTTAGACGCCAGGTGACAATGGTCGTTGTGTGCGTTCGCACCATGTCTGAGCGTGTTCAGGATACCTGTGGCGCGTAGGCCGGAGCCGGGTCTGTGGCCTGCTCAGTGTGCACTAGGACGTGCGTTTCCTGCTGTCCTATGTGATCGTGAAGAGCAGGCCCACTCAGGCGAGCGGCAGTCTGTTGATGACTGGAAAGTAAGTTTCTTTTTTCCCTCCCTCTTGTTAATTCTCAGGTCCACTTTAATCGTGATGGATCCTTGATAGTTTCAAGTAGCTACGATGGTCTTTGGTAAGTAGAAAACCTTTACTGCATTTAATCATCAAATACTTACTAACAGCCTACTCTTGCACTTTTCCAGCCTCTGGGGGTACAGCAGTGAAAAAAAGAGACGCAAGTCGTTAACGTCCAGAAGCTTACACTCTAGCGGGGCTACAGACGTGTGCAGATAGGATTCCGGGGGCACTGGGGTCGGTGTGGCTGGGAGCCTCCCGCTGCAGGTAGGCGTGCACACGAGCTCTTCACGAGCTGCTGGAAAAGGGGCGGTTGGACCCCTGGAGGTGGAAGATGTGCAGGTACGGGAGGATTTTGAGAGTGTATCGTCTTGCCCCATTGAGGAAACGTCCTGAACAGGTGAATGGGAACAGGTCCCGGCACAGGGAAGGGCGGGAGGCAGAGGGACGTGGTTTCCCGTGGAATCCCCAGTTAGGGCCGAGTGGATGATGCTTGTGGAACTGGGCGTCTCTCATGTGTGTCCAGGGTCTGCAGGAGACACAAGGGAGAACGAGGAAGAAAATGTTTAAACTTAGCTCAGCTGCATTCATGATGGGGGCAGGTGTGGGGAGTGAGAACATTTGGGTTGTACTTCGGGTGTGGAGGGAGAAGCGGTCCTAGCATGTTCAGGTGTCTCTAGGGAGGACGGAACTGTGGCAGGTACTGGCCGAGTTGAAGACCTTAGTAGGACTTCCTGTCGGGCCACTGGGAACCCTCAGGGGAAAACGTGCGCTGGCCAGGGCAGAGGGACGTGTGATAAAGCAGGTGGAATTTAGGGAAAAGAATTAGAGACCTGTACACCAGGTAGCATAGTAGCCAGAAGATACAGGATCAAAACTAGAAATATAAGGAGAACTTGACATACAATTGTTTGAGTGTTGTTAACATATTTCTTTTAGACTCCGACCGAAGATGGGCGATCTGGGCGACACCATTAGCTATTTCTTTACTACATGTAGAGTACAGTGTATACTACAAGCACAAAGTAGGCTTTTTTTTTTAGTAAGAATTTTATTTGACAATATTAGGTAACATCATTCCTCCAAAATAAAAATCAGAAGTGCCTTTAAAGCTTCTTTTCCAACTGTGCAGGTGAGGGTGTGCGCTGGGGGCCTGAAGGAGCCTCAGCTGGACTTGCACCTCTCACTCAGTTTCCGGTCTGGCTCTCCGAGGAGTGTTGGCGCGACGAGCCCCAGAGGGTCACAGTCTGTGGTCGGCACACAGGTCCCATCATGCGTCTTGGCTAGATGGGTCTGGAGGGAGGTGACTGCAGGACAGAGTTGTGCCTGGGGCACCCGGTCACCAGCCTGTCCACAGGCTCCGCGGCGCACAGGTCCAGGCCCTCCCCAGCGTTTGAGCTCTGGGTCCAGCACTGTGACGGTGTTTGGGGCCAAGGTCACCAGGATGTGCTGCGGCACAAACGAGGTCATCTGGGGCCCTGCGCTGGCTGCGATTAAAGCCATAATCCACACTTGACCACTTACCAGTTTGGTATAACGGATGCAACTCAGACACAGCCAGATGGAAGAGGTGCACAGGCAGGCCACGGCGTGCAAGGTACGAGCTGCCGGGACTCTCCGGGCACAGTCTTCCTGGCACCTGTGCGTTCCCCGACCCGGAAGCTCTGGATGTTTTCTTAAGAGCACGGAGCAGTCTCAGAATCACTCATGGACTTGGCTCTCAAAACTTTGTAAAGAAATGAGAAAAAATGTACCAAAGAAACTGAGAGGGAATTTATAAAATTAAAATAAGGTCTATTTTTTGATAAGGCCAATAGTTAAAACTATCATAAGCCCAATTATGGAAAAAACAAAAATAAGTAAGATTGGAAATAGGAAGTGGGCGGGAAAACTGCAGGTCAGGGAGAAGTCAGGAAGAGGAAGTGCCTCTGTCCCTGAGGTGGGACCTTGAGGGACCAGTCACCATTGAAGAGACTGGAAATGGCATTGGAGTCCTGAAAATATCAGTCCTTGGGATTTATACCTGAATCCAGTTAAATAACAGAAACTTGTAAGGTCATGTAAACTATTCCAGACGATAGGAAAACTGAGGCTCCCTAATTCATTTTAGGGGTCTGGCATGACCCTGCTTCCCAAAAGAGGGGACCTCACTCGGGAATATTGTGCCAGATTCCAAAGAAATTACTAGCAAACTGAATCCAGCAGTGTATCAGAAAGTAATATTCAATGAGTGAGCAAGTGTATCGACTAATGAAATAATTATCGTAACAGGAACATCAAGAAACCTACAATCTAATTATATCAATGAATTAAAGACAAATATCCATATAATTTATCGGGAGAGGTTGGAAAGGCTGGAAAGGCACCTGATAGTACCCAGCAGCCACTCCTGATAACCTTTTAGCAAGATAAACCAATGTTTGCTGCTTACTGGGAACTAGTAACTTTTCCTAATAGACGGTGACATGCTAAGACTATTTCTGCTGAAGTCAGGGGCAAAACAGGCCTGCCTGTTTCCGTTACTGAGCATTGGGAGTTTCTAGTTAATGTGATAAGAAAATGAAAATTGTATGAAAACTGAATAGAGATTTATCTCTTTGTAGATGGTATGTTTGTGTATTTTAAAAAATTCAAAAGCCAACAACATTGTGCTTTTCAAATATTCACTCATTTAACTTATGACATGGGTACTTGGCTGTGGCCATCCCTACTTTTCAGCAGTGACAGCACTGGCCAGTTGTCCCTCAGCTGGTGACACACCATGTGGTAGCTCTAAACTCTGGGCTTAGAAGCACCAGGCTCTGCTGGCTACAGAATGTGATCATGTGTCTGGCAAGGTCCATGCTTGAAAAGTGACCATTTTTCCCTGTACAGTTGGGGAAAACGTTCAGCTAGCATAACAAGGACGGAAATGCTGAGAGTTTTAGGAACGTGTCTAATAAGAAAGCAAGACGGACCCATACAGGAAATGAGAAAGTCTAACCAAAAGGGCACACGCCGAAGAATTTAAGGCTTGGAGACAAATCATACGGCCACATCCTCGGTGGTGGCTGAGCATCTGTTGTCCTAAGCGCATCTGCTGTAATGCAGCTCCATTTAGCATCCCTCCAGGGTGTTTGTGGAACTAGATAAAGTGAATTTAAGACCCATAGAGAAGCATAATGGAGCTGTTTGCTGACAGAATGAGAAAGTGGGAGTGAGGGCGTGAGCTGCCACTCACAGGTTTTAAAACCTGAGGTGCAGTGGCTGCAGCACAGTGTGGTCTTGTCCCTGGAACCTCTGCACTGCGGGTGGGACTGAAGGAGGCTCGAGGTGAGAGTGCCCTGGGGCCCCTGCCAGCATTCCGGGAGTGAGGGGGAGGGGGTCATCGCCCTGGGGCAGAGTCAGTGCCCAGGGGAGGGCGCAAGGACACTGACAGACAGCAGGATGGGGATGTGATGCTTGGAAAGTCGTCCGTCTGTTCTGAGCCAGCGCCACTGCTGGGGGCTCTAGAAGTGTAGGTGCTCACACAAGCGGGCTCTGCTTCTAAAATGCGACTGTTTTGGCAAAAATCACAGAAACCCTGAAACTGGAACGATGGAAGTGCCTGGCCCCTCCATTCAGGGAATAGTGGTCTTTGAATATGTTCTCTTGCTACTTAACTAAAGGGGCGTCTGGAGAATTGCACATAGTACTCCCATTTTTATATTTGAAGAGCCCTCTCCCTCGTGACTGCGTGCTGGAGTGTGTGCGTGGAGAGGCCTGCGAGGAAGGCCGTGGGCGCCCTCGTTGGCCGGGAAGGGCGGGCAGGTGGGCGGTGCTCGTGGGAGAGACGTCCGTGGTCTGGGTGCACGGAGCGTGTGTGGACTGTATACAATCCAGTGCTTGGAAGATGAGGGAATAATTGTTAAATGAAGTGGGGAAGAGCGTCTCAGTCCTAAAACTTGTATCTGGTTAAGAATGGCACTCACAAGGCTCCTTGTGGTAACTCGCTTCCTCAAACTATTTTGTTCTTTTTGCTTTGAAGTCGCATTTGGGACACCGCCTCTGGCCAGTGCCTGAAGACGCTCATCGGTGAGTGCTGGGCTCTCGCTTCCAGGCCGGGTGTTTACGCTGTGTCTATGGACCTGCCAGGGAGGACTTCTGCGGTCTCTCCTGCCCTTTTCCATGAGTTAGTCGTTTCTCCTCTGTCCTGGGTCTGCTCCCTTTGGGAGGAATCTTCCTCCTCTTCTGACCGCTCCCACCAGTTCCCTCCTGACCGCTAAGTCTGAGGCCGCGTGTTAGCGCCCACACAGGCCTGTACTGTCCAGCCTTGCTGGGGACGGCGGCAGTGACCTCCTCGGACCCTCTGTGCTGGCAGCTCCGGAGCTCCTCCCGCTGTGTTTGCCTCGAGGGTGGTTCCTTGAGAGGCGCAGCTGAGCCCCTGCCCTGGAGCATCCCTTTCTGTGGGGGCTGCTGCCCAGGTGGGTGGAGGTGCCCTGGGAGGAGGGATGGGCCTGAGGTCTGCCCCTGGGGACAAGGAGGGGAAGGAGAGACCCACATGGCCTGAGCTGCCCGATGTGGGGGCGTGTGGCTGCAGGCCAGGTGACGGGAAGGGTTCTCATGAGGGCGGTGTTCCCGTGTGTGAAGGCTGATGAGCTTGGGCCGGCCTGGAGGTCAGAGTTCCAGGTTAGAAGCGTAGGATGGGGTGGGCCTGCTATCTAGAGTAGGATGGGCTGTGGCCTCCTGGGGCATCTGCCAGTTCCGTACCTTGAGGAGGAAGCTGGGTGGTGGGGGAGGGAGATGGGCCCACCTGGGGAGGTGCAGCCTCCTAAGCTCCTCGTCCCTCCCTAGGCTGTCACAGAACAAACGTCCACCTTAGTCTGCTAGGCCTGCTGTGATAAACTACCGCAGAGTAGGCAGCTCAAACAGCAGGAATTTATTTTCTCATGGTCGTGGAGGCTGGAAGTCAAAGACCAAGGTGTCTTTGGGGTTGGTTTTTCCTGAGACCTCTCTCCTTGGCTTGTAGACAGCCGACTGACTCCTCCCCACGTAGGCTGTGCCCGGATGTCTCCACGTGTCCAAATTCCCTCCTCTTAGAAGGACACCAGAAAGATTGGACAGGGGCCCACCCTAAGGGCCTCATTTTCACGTAAACATGTCTTTGAAGGTTGAGTCTCCAAATACCTTCTGAGGTTCTGGGGCTTAGGGCTTGAACATGAGTTTGGGGGGCATGGGTCACTACCACCAGGGGCTTTTGAGGTTTTCTTGCTCTCTGAGGCCCTCCTCTGCTGTATGTCCTCGTTCTGACGGTGAAGTCACACTGTGTCAGTCAGTGTCTTGCACAGAAGCCTGGTGTGGGTGACCCTGCCCAGTAGGATGGTGGCCCCCTCAAGCTGCTGCCTGGTGTGCCTAGTATTGCTGCTTGCTGTCATGGTAACTCCTGCAGGTGGAGGTGTGTCCCCACCCTACAGAGAGGCCGATTGCCCAGCCCAGAGCTACACGGCAAGTGCGAGCTATGGCCGGGGCCAGCGCAGGCGCTGGGTGGTTTGCATGCGCGCTGAGCGCAGGGCACAGGGTAGGGGAGGAAGGGGAGGAGGGGTCAAGGGTAATTTTCCCATCTGATTTCTCCTTCGGGCTTCACTAAGACAGGTCAGCTGATAAGTTCCCAGTCACGCTTTGCCACAGTAGCTTGGTTAGACGTAGTGGGTTACTCAATTAAGTGGGCCCGGCCCTTGTGACCGCGGCCAGACTGCATGACACAGTGTGACCCCGGGCAAGAGCCCAAGGGCTTCACACCAACTCCTGTGCCTTTTCAGTGTGTTTGACCAGCCCGTGGGAGCGGAGGCCCCGGGTGCCTTGTGGGACCCAGCGTGCCCTTGGTGGTAATGCCGTGTGCTGCGTCCTCTCTGGTGCTTGGGACACACCAGCGCATGTGCACGCTCAGGGGACCCCGGTTGGCTAGACAGACCCACTCAGGGTGTACCTCCTTGAACTCCATCCTCTGCACCCAGGCGAGGGGAGAACACCTTCCTCCCATCCTGAGGATTGAATAGGATTATCACGTCCTGGAAACTCTGGCCTTTGTTGGCACGCCTTTCTGGGCGTGTTGACTCCTCAACCGTGTGAGGAAGGACAGCTGTCCCTGCATCCCCAGGGCCCCCGGGGTTAAGCTTTTTACCCAGAGTGTTAGAGGCAAAGATGTGGGTGCAGTGTCACAAAGGTTGGATGCAGGGATGTGAGAGTCTCCTGCTGCTGTAACTGAGCACCAGGAAGGCGACTGGGGATGACTACCCAGGTGACTTTGCTCCTAGCGGGGGCGGGGGGTGGAGGGGTCCTCAGTCGAGCTGGGTATTTGCACACCGCCTTGCGTCAGGTAGTCAGTGTCCCTCGTCCTCTCACGTCCGGTGCCGAGGAGGCCCGGTGACCTGCGTGTGGCTTGCCTTAGGCTGTGTTCCTGAAGTCCCTTGTCAGAGGTGCCCTCGGGGCCATGGGCTTGAGGCATCGAGAACCCGCTCACCTCCGGTGCAAGTGGCGGGTGAAGGTGCGGGCGGCTCCATGGTGGTGTTGGCACTGGTGGCACTGACCTCACTCAGACGCCCACACGGGTGATGGGGAGCGGGCCTTGTCCCTCCTCCCAGCAGAGCCACCAGCACCCACCCAGTGTCAGTCTGTCTGTTTTCGATGCAGATGACGATAACCCCCCAGTGTCTTTCGTGAAGTTCTCTCCGAACGGCAAATACATCCTGGCTGCCACGCTGGACAAGTAAGTGCAAGTAAGGTGGCCTCCCTGCCAAGGACACCTGTCCCTTCCCAGCAGGAGACTTTGGAGCGGGTGTTGCTCTTGGTACCAGATGCAGACTCGTGCTGGAGCCCAGGCTTCAGGGATGTGGGCTGTTAGGCTGGAAGGAAGGCCCCTGCCCGTCCGCAAGAGGCCGAATTTCTGGTCTGAAGAGACACAGTTTTGACGTTGAGTGACTTATGTGACCAGGGGTGGGCAAAGCCTTCCTGCGTGGAGGACTGGGTGGGAGGGGTGTCCCAGAGGTCCTTTCTGGTTCTGACCTCTGAGCACCTCAGTTCTACCTGTGACAAAACTATGGGACAGAGTTTTGGTCCTGTAAACTGTCACCCTCCCGGGTGGCCATTTAAGCCCTGGCCTCTCCCCGTGGGGGCCCTGTGGGGCCACCGTGCTGTTGCTCCTCCTCGGAGGGCCGCATGGTCGGCCTTGGCCTTGGTCAGCCCCTGGTGCTTGGGGCAAGATCCTGCCCCTAGGATGAGTAGAGTGTTCGAGACGTCTATTCTGGATGTTTCTGGAACCAAGACGACTTCCGTGTCCTTGTGAGGTTGACCATGGACTGATTTAGAACCACAACACCCAGCTGCTTCCTTTTTAAAAGTCTGTCTTTGCTTGGCTTTTAATATGTGAAACTTTTGGTTTCAAAGTGTAGACTGAAAGAAATTAAAAATATTTTACCCCAGAATATGGCATTTTGACATGCTGGACTGATTAAGGCAACCGCAAGGTCCCCGATCTCCTCCCCACACCATCACCTGTCCCCACGTGGCTGCTCTCTTTTCTGCCTCAGATCCAGACCCACCTGGACAAAAGTTGTTCTTTTCTTCCCCTCCCTGTGACACCTGAAATGTGGCCACACCTGAGCAGACTCTTCAGGAAGACAATGTCCCATCTCTCAGACGCATTTAAATTCCAAAGGGAACCATTTACCAGTTAACCTTTGCTCCCCACCATTCGCCTCCCTAGTAATCTTTTACTGCCCCTCAACAGAATTCCTCTTTCCCTCCCATGACTCATTTCATCCAGAAGTTGTGTAAGCTTCTGAACGCTGTTGGGGAGTTGCATCTTCATTTTCTGGGGGCTCCTGTGTATGGAGGTTAAAATAAATTTCATAATTTTTCTCTTACTAAAAAAAAAGTCCGTCGTTGATCTACAAATACTTGGGGTTCATACATCGTGCTCTTGGATGTTATCAAGTCACTGGACTTTGTGGACCTGGGGGCCCCACCCGCTGTGCTGGGGACCCTCACTTTGATGGGGGAGGAGGTTCCAGCCCCGCTGGTTTTGCACCTGACGCTGGTGGTCGCTGCGACGTGGCGGCAGCAGAGTCGGGTGCAGTGGTGAGGGGTGCCCCCAGAAGCGACTCCTCACCCCCTCTCTCTGTCTTCCAGCACCCTGAAGCTCTGGGACTACAGCAAGGGGAAGGTGAGCTCCCACGAAGGCGCGCTCGTCCTGAAGGCCTGCGCCTGTGTCACGCCGTGGCCCCTGGCGGTAGCAGAGCTGACCCCCGGCAGGCCGGCAGGAGGGAGCTCGGAAAGCCGCCCACTCAGTTGGTTTGGTGCGGATTTCTGAGAGACCTGGCCTTTTGCAGATTGCCAGTCTGCAAGTCAAAGCGTTGACTGTGTGGGCTTTGTACCTGTATATGTTTAGAGTAATTTTCAGAACCAGCTAGTGGTAAAGTGCCTGCGCTTAGAACTTAGAATTGTCCAGCACGCAGGGCAGTAGTGACCTGTGACTCGCCTGTCCCCTGCCGTTGCAGTGCCTGAAGACGTACACTGGCCACAAGAATGAAAAGTATTGCATATTTGCCAATTTCTCCGTCACTGGCGGGAAGGTGAGTTTCCCCCATCTGAGAAGCTTCTCACACCTTCCCAACTCGAGAGAGGTCACACCCGCTAGGGGTTGCTTTATACTTGCAGAGATGCCTTTTTGTGCCCACAACAGATAGTAGTTTTCTGTTTTAACCAAAGCGAAGTCACACTGCCAAGTACTGGCTGCATGTGTCAGGAACACCTTCTCCTCGATCCACCTCACTCTCTTTAATGGAGACAGATCTGTCATCAGGCTGTGCTAGAATGGGTGGCTGGCCGCTTCCTTGCGAGTCGGGAGTGGACGCACTGGCTCTGAGGCTGCTGCCCACCGCCCCTCCCAGACCCTCCTGCCCCGGGGCGGGTGGAGCGCATTTTCCTGCCCACCACCTGGTCTCAGTGCTCACCTCTTTCTTTTATCCTCGTTTGAGGTGGGGATTGACTAAGAGTAGGGGTGACACTTGGCTGAGATGTGAGTGACAAAGTCAGAAAATGGTAATTTGGGAAAACATCCTCCGGCCTCGCTGCTTTTCTGGTGGCGGGTGGGTCTTGGCCATCCGAGTGTGGCCAGGCGTGGGGGGAAGGGTGCTTCTGGCCGGGCTGGAGCCGAGCAGGGCTTTTGTTTGGGCTCCCAGCAGCAGCAGGGTGGGCGGGAGCGGGGTGAGGGCCGTCTTGGGGCTCTGGCCCTTCCACACGCGTGAACTCTGACCTGGCTTTTCTCGCCCCATCCTCCCTGCCGTTACCCAGTGGATCGTGTCTGGCTCGGAGGATAACCTCGTTTACATCTGGAACCTGCAGACAAAAGAGATTGTACAGAAACTACAAGGCCACACAGGTGAGCACCTGCATCGTGCGTGCCACTCACTGATTCTGTGGTGGCTCAGGAAGAAAGCTGTGTGGTGTGCCGCCTGCTCCCTCTTTCTCCTCGGCCCTCTGGGTGGCCCTGGAGGGGCACTGTCCACTCTGGAGCCTGCTGCCAAGTGCCCTTGCCCAGGGTCACGGGGCAGGTCGGGGCTGGTCCTGACTCAGCCTGGCTCTTGGCTTCACCCTCTTCTTCCGGTCCTGCCGGGTGTCCTGGTCCGGAAAGTGCGTGTTGCTCTCGCCCTGCTCAGGTGGGCGAGGTCGTGCCTCCGTCCCACTTGGTGGCAAGCTGTTTCCTCTGCCAGGGATGGGGAGGCCGCCGCACCCTGTCCTGGAGGCTCTGTCCTGTCCTGGGAACCAGAGCCGCTGGTTCCCATCCCCAGGCAGGCCTTGGCTTCACGAGGCCGGGCAGGCTCCTGCTGGTCCCGGGTCCTGGCTGCCCTCGAAGGCCGCTGCTGCCTCACTGTCCCTGAATGGGCACTTCTCTGGGGTTGGTGAGGGCAGGGGTGCTGCAGCCCTGTGGAATTCCAGGACAGCGTTGCCCTCTCTTGCCTGAGATGAGCAGCTCCACCCAGGCTGGGAAGGGACTGATGTCCTGGGGCCGCTGTGTGCCCTCCGTGTTGGGCCTGGGCTGCTCCTGCCTCCTTCACCCTTGGAGGAGACGGCACTTCAGTTTACGGAAAAGCTGTGAACGTGCTGACGTGGCTGACCACACGTGCCAGCCCGTTCGGATGTCCCTGCTGAGGGTGGACATGCCTTTGAGGGACAGAGGCAGCCCTGCATGATGCTATGGGGGCCAGGAGTGGTGGGAGGCGGTAGGAGTGGGTGGCCCTGGGTCCGGCTAAGATAGGGGCATTGTCCACAGAGAACTGAGGACCGTAGGGGGTCTGTTGTCCCCGTGGGTGCGGGCTTCTGAGCCCATGGTGCTGCAGTGTGCCTCCCGTGGGCGCCTCCCAGTGTGCCACGCGGAGTCCTGTCCCCATGGCTGGTGCTGCCATGCGGCCTTCCCGCGCAGCTGTCCCACACCCTGTCTGGTTCCTGCCCCGCCCTCCAGGCTGCCTGAGCCGAACAGGTGGTAGGCGGCGGTGCTTGTTGCTGCCCTGAAACCGCCTCGGGGTGAGGGGTGGTCAGGGCTGTGTGAGGCCTCTTCCTCCTCGGGGGCAGTAGGGTGGCGCCCCGGACCCAAGTCGAGGGGAGCGCTCATGACGGTCTCCTTCTTTTCAGATGTTGTCATCTCCACAGCTTGTCACCCGACAGAGAACATCATCGCCTCGGCCGCACTAGAAAACGACAAGACGATTAAGCTGTGGAAGAGCGACTGCTAAGTCCTTTGGCGCCACACGAGAGACTGTCGGAAGTTGACGTAGATTGGCAAGAAAAGTGGGTGTCGAGGAGGCCCCCCGGGTCTGGCCCCGGGATCTGGGTGGGGCCTGACGTGAGCCGCCGCCTCCTCCTCGAAGATGATTTGGCCACGGGGAAAGTGTGGACGACCAGAAAGTTCTAAAAGTTGCTGGTGACGTTTCTTGCCAATTCGCTAACACTGTCTAGGGAGTTGTTCCTGGTCTGTATTGTGCTCAAACACAGTCAAGAAGAATTTTTAATTTTTTATTACAAGAGAGTGAAGTTCAATTTATGATGAGTTGTGTTTTTTCCAGTAAATGTTCTGTATCTTTTGATATTCTCTGCCCCAGCGGGAACGCTGCGACCCAGCTCCACCACCGCGGCGCTGGCCTGGCGGCCCGGCCCCTGCGTGCTCGTGGGTCTGGCCCCGTCTGTCCGGTAGGTGCTCGGAGACGCGGCTCCGCCTGTGCGCGGGTTCCCGGCGTATTTTCACGTCATTCTGGAAACAGCGTTGTAAGGTTATTTCGTGTAAAGAGCCTTTTGTGTCCTGGGAGTGCATAGTTCATGCGCTGACAGCGTGGAGGTTGCGGTGTCCCCTGTTTGTGTCACTGATGTTCATACCACAGGCAGCACCACAAATTGCAATAAAAGGAGGGATTTTGTGAACGGTGTGGCAACTGCGTCCTCATGTGAAGCTTGTCTGCACTCGCCTTTGTAGAGAACGTCTCACAGTGGGCAGGAGGCTGGAAGGATGTCTCTGGAAAGGCGGTGCCCTGGCTGGTGTACCCCCCTCACTCTAAGGAGGCCCTTCCCTGCAGGGTCACGGTGGTTAGGCAGTGGGGTGGGACGGGCAGGGTGTGTTCCCAGGGAGACAGGCTGCTTGGGTCTCCATCCAGAGCCTTGGAGGCAGCCACAGTGCACGAGGCTCCCGGGTCCCTACGTCCAGGTCCGACTTCTGCCGGCCCGGGTGCCAGTGCTGTCTCTGGGCGGCCCCTGTGGGGGTTGGGTATTCTTCACCCTTGCCCTGCCTGCCCTCGCCGACGCCTCTGCTCCCGCTGGGGCCTCCTCTGCGTCGTGGCTTCTTGGTGCTCAGGTCTGGGGAGAGGCGGTGGCGGTGCTCGCTGCAGAGCGGGGTTAGAGCTGCCGCCTGCGGGGGTGCAGCTCAAGCCCAACTCCGCTCACAGAGGCCTTTGAGGTGGAGGCCTGCTGTGCGCAGCCAGGGCTGCAGGAGGGTGGCTCTGTCCCGCCGGCACTGCTGGGCGGGCCACTGGCACCTGGAAGGCAGTCAGTCCCGGGTCTGCAGATGGCACCGGCCTCAGCCCAGCAGCTCCTCCTCGTCAGGGCCTGGAGTCCACGGTCGGGTTCTAGGCAAACCCGTCAGCCTTCAGTGGGATGGAGCGAGTGGGGCCCGGGCCAGGCCTCCTGGGGATCCTCTGGTGGCACAGGGCGAGGAAACCGATCAAAGTCCTCTGGAAGTAAGCTGCTGGCAGTTCCCCAGCCCCGCCTGTTGGAAGTAGGCGTGTAAATGAGTTATGTGTCTGAGAGGTGAATTGCCACAGCAGAATGGGTTGGTTCTTGTCCTTCGCACTCAGGGTCTGGGCCCTTGCGTTTGCAGCCTGTCCCAACAGACACGTGGAGGTCCACGCATCAGCCCCCGTCACCCAGCTCTGGGACTTCCGAGGGGACCTTGAGGTTCTTCCAGCTTGGCTTGCTCTCGCGTCAGCTCACTCCCGGGAGGGGAAGGGGCGTGCTGTGGGAGCACTGTGTCCCTGAATAGAGTTTATTTTTTCTACATACGAATTCTCTGTTGTATGTAAAAGTACATTCTCTTTTTGAAAATAAAGATTTTCACGTCTTCTAATTTTGTCTCCTAAGAATTGCTTAACATTCCCAAAATGCACCTGTCAGTTTGGGGAAGGAGGGTGGTTGCATGGGGCTTTATCCTGGGGCGGGGTGGGCACTGTCACCAGTGCCATGGTGCTTTGAGAGAAAGTCCTGAATTTATTTACAGTAACCTTTTTGTGAAAGTTCTGCATTCTGGCTAAGCACTGTCTACGAAGCAGGGTGGCGAAAACACTTGCCCGAATTCCTACCACCACCGGCGTGTTGGGAACGTCTTCTACTGTGCTCGTTAGAGACAAACTGACGCAAGCTTTCCAACACACGAACGTGAGAAGAATGTGACCACCCTCGGGTCCCTGTCCCCACTGCAGGGACCGTGACATACTGTTTCCAGTGCTCTGCCATGATTTTAGTGCAAATTCCCATTTTGTCGTGTATGCAGCAGATTCATGGTATCTCCGAGGGAAATTCTCCAAAACCTTGATGGCCACAATACTGTTTCATACCCGAGTTCTTTAAATACCTGATGTTCCCAGCTGTCTTAGTATCTTTTAAAAATGTGTGTGTGCACATACAGGATACACATGTATGAAATGCATATATGCATGCACATGTCACAGGCATGTTTGCACATGTATGTACATAAGTGCATGAATACACGCATACCTATGTGCAACATACACCACACTCATGCAAGGTATGTACACACGTGTGAACATGTGTGCTTGCATGTACATGCGTGTGTGCCTATGTACACATGTGGTTGGTTTGAGTTAGGATCCAGACAAGGTCTTCACCCGCATCTGGTTGGTTTATCTCCAGCCTTTTTAAAAAGTCTTATTTCTCTGTTTTTTTCCTGCCATTTATCTGTTGAAACAGTCATTGATCCTGCAGACTCCCTGGTCTGGATTTTGCTGAGCGAGTCTCTGGGGGGCTGTCTCCTGTGTCCCCTGGAACCGGGCAGTGAGGGCTGGTGGCACCAGATTGAGGCTCCGTGTTTTACTCAGAACACTAAGCAGGTGGTCGTGTGTGTGTGCGTGCGTGTGCAAACGGTGGAGCGGGTGGCCAGATTGGTTTTATTTAATTTGATAACATCTTTCGAGGTCCTTGGATGAGCCCTACGTGTACAGGAAACGTGCCCAGGCCAGGGTCCGTGTATGTAATTTGGGAAGCAGGCTTGTGTGCTCCAGCCGGTCATGTCCCGCTCTTCAGCCTGTGCGGGAAGTACGGCAGCACTCACCGTCCTGACAGGAGGACCTTAGGGTCAAGGACAGGTCCCAGTAAACAGGAAGGGCTCTCTGCTGAGCTGCCAAGGAGAACAGAGATTCAGGGAGGATGAGAGTCAGGCACTGCCACCCAGAGGAAGGGACAGTGGATGCTGAAGCTGGAACAGAGCTACACTCACCCCTGAACGGTGGGTCTGAGGGCTGGGGAAGACCACTCGGTGCCCCGGGGGTGGCCCTGAGTCCTCACTGCCTAGCCCGATGGACTGTATTGCAGAGGTGAGGTTTTGACTCACACGAATATGAACGCTCAGCAAAGACTTCATGTATAAACTCAGCGAGGGAACCTGTAGGATGTTACCGCCGGTTCCAAGTACCACACTATACAAATTGCAAATAGATCCTCAACTGGCAAAAATGGTCAAAATACATCAGGCACGATCGGTTTCATACAATTTAGACGTAAAATAGCAAACAAGCCAGGGTGGAGAGGAGCTAGAGGGGTGCCTTAGACTGACAACCAGGGATTTTTTTTTTTTTTTTTTCATATTTCAAGGTCTCTGGATTTTTCCTGATGGGCTCTTCTGTCAAAAGGTTGGAGTGCAGAAGAAGGGAGGGTTCAAATAAGGCCTTTTGGGGTGGAGATACCAGAACATGGGATGACCCCGCGAGAAGGGGCCTGTGTGTGCTTGCCCCGCGTGTGAAGGGCGGGGGCCGTTGCCAGGTTCCCTGCTGTGGCCGATGGGAGGTGGAGATCACTCCTGGCGGGGCTCCACCTGCCCAGGTGCTGGGGTGCAATTGCAGGGTGCAGTGCCAAGAAGGGGACTTGGCGAGGCTAGTCTTCGTGAAGAATCCCTCGCCACCACGAGCTGGCGCACCTGTGCACACGATGCACCCGCACACGTGCATCTGTGCCCGCACAGTGTACATGGACGGAGACTCGCAACGGGAAAAAAAAAAGAAAAACGATGGTTAGATGCCACGAAGTAGGTGGCAATGCCTTAACCGTATGCGTGTTGTACAGGCCCGAGAGCCTCTTCCATCCTTGTCAAGGGGAGTGCTAACCTTCTCTCCTTTCATACAACACAGTGTGCTCTGCGACCGCGAGTCTTTTATGAGCCAACATTCGGCTCGCCTTACGGTGATGGTGACTTGCCGCCGGCCATCCAGAGGCACACTCGTGGAAGCGCCTGCGTCCCCTAGGATACCACAGCTGTTCGCATTGGATCATCTTTGTTAATTTGAAAGTATAAGAAAAAAAAAAAACAAACCTTTTTATCTATAATGTATTCATAAAACCAGCCAATCAGAGACTGAGGGGAACAACCAGACATCCCGAGCTTCCCTGGGGAGGCAGATTCCTCCGGAAACAAAACAGGGCGGGCTCGCACTTCCCGTGGCGACACGTCTTGCGGATGGCGGGAAGAGGCGCAGGACTGCCTGCGGGAGCGGAAGTGGCTAGTAACGAATCAGAGGGCGGAGATCGGAAGATCCGCTCCACGGACTTCCGGACGCGGCCCTGCGCTTGGAACTGTGGGTGCCGGGGCGCGCAGGCACCGCCTGCGCATGCTCCATGCCGCCTGGAGCCCCGGTTCGAGCCCGGCGTGGCCGCGCCCCTGCCGCGCTCCTCGGGCTCCAGGTTACAGCGCCCCTGCTGGCGCCTGGGCCGCCGCGCGTTGGGGGACGGCGGGCCGGCTCCCTCAGCTCGCGGTGCTGGACCCACGGAGGCCTGTAAGCGGCAGCCCGCGGCGTCGGCGGGTGTTTGCGCATGCGCGCGCGTCTCTCCATGCACGCCCGGGCACGCGCCCGCACATGTCCGCACACGTATGTGCACATGCGCGTCTACACAAACGCACTTGGACTTGTATGCATATACGCACGTGTGCGTGCACGCACAGTCATGCACGTGTCCTCACATGCACGCCCGTTTTTACATGTACTGATGCATGCCCACGCAAGCATGCGTACATGCAGGTTTGCACACGCACTAGTGTGTGCATGTGTGCAAACATGCACATGTCCATACACCCGCTCGCACAGGTAGGTGCACACGTGCGCGTGTGTGCATAAACACGTGTGCACACGTATGTATGCACGTGCACGCATGTCAGTACACACGGTGCGTGTACAGACAGACACAAGGGTGCACTAGGATGCACAGTGGCCGCTCTGGGTGGCCAAGCAGTAAGGACTGAATGAGCGTGTTTATTTCTCTGAGCTACTTTGGATGTGTGTGTTCCCAAGTGTGTCTAT